TATGAGATACCTAGCAGTTTTTGCAGCTTCCCCCCAAAATAACTTAGGAAGATCAGAACCTAATAACATGCATCTAACTCTCTCAAGAATAGTTCGGTTCATTCTTTCAACCAAGCCATTTTGTTGTGGGGCGCGTGTCACTATTCCGTGTCTCAAAATGCCATGCAATTTGCACAATTCATCAAATTCATAATTGCAAAACTCAAGTCCATTATCAGTCCTCAACACTTTAAGGCCATGCAATTTTGACTATTTTCAATCTAATCAGGTTGTAGATTATCATTATTAACTTGCTTCACCTTAATTTCAGTTTCCCTTCCTTTATTTTCAGTCTGACCAGATTCATTAGTGTTATTTTCATATTTCAAACAAGGCAGATCAGATTCATTAAACACCACATTTCTACTTATAATGATCTTATAACATTTCGTCTCTCTTATCCAAAGTCCATACCCCTTCACCGTAGCCCAAAAAAACACACTTAAGGGCCCTAAGTTCCAGTTTCCCTTCAGATTGATGTGTAAATACTGCGCAACCAAATATTTTTAGATTACTCCAATCTACAGTTTTCTTGTCCAAACTTGTTCAGAGGATTTACATTCTATAGCACTAGCGAGACTTCTATTTATGAGATAACTAGCAGTTTTTGCAGCTTCTCCCCAAAATAACTTGGGAAGACCAGAACCTAATAACATGCATCTAACTCTCTCAAGAATAGTTCGGTTCATTCTTTCAGCCAAGCCATTTTGTTGTGGAGTGTGTGTCACTGTTCAGTGTCTCAAAATGCCATGCAATTTGCACAATTCATCAAATTCATAATTGCAAAACTCAAACCCATTATCCGTCCTCAACACTTTAATCTTTTTATTTGTTTGATTCTCAATCAAGGTTTTCCATTCTTTAAAAGCATTAAAAGTGTTGGACTTATGTTTAAGCAGAAAGAGTCAGTTTTTCCTAGAAAAATAATCTATGATTAAAAGAAAAAAATCTGAAACCAGTATGTGTGGGCACAGAAGCTGGTCCCCAAAGATCAGCATGCAAATATTCAAGAATAGATACAGATTTATGCATCCAATGTAGAAATGGTAATTTTTGCTTTCCTAGTATGCAATGATCACAAAAACTAAGTTTCTCAATCATATCTTTACCAAATGCACCTTGTTTTTTCAAAATCTGAAGACCTTTGTCACTAATATGGCCCAATCTTTTATACTATAATTGTGACTTATCATTGGGAGCAGAAATTGCTACTGATGTAGAGTCAAAAAAGTTTTGAGTATGTAAAATGTAAAGCCCATGTCTCTTCGGGGCTTCGGCAACAAGTTGAGAGCCCCTCAAGATCTTAATGTATCCCTTATTAATCACAATATTGTAGTTCAGGTCATTTAAAACACCTAAGGACATCAAATTTCTTTATAGGTTAGGAACATACCTGGTCTTCTCTAAGATCAATTCATTATTACCATCCAACCTTAAAGTGATTGTTCCTATTCCTTTTACTTGACAAGACATGTCATTACCCATTAACACTTGGCCTCCATTTATATTTTCAAACTCACTAAACCATTCTCTTTTAGGACACATATGAAAGGTGCAACCGGAGTCAAGGATCCACTCTTGACTAGGTGGACTGACAGCAACTAGACCTCATCTAGGTTGGACTCGTTATTATAGGCTAAGGTAGCACCACCATCATTATTAGACTTATTCCTCAAACCATTAAGTCTCTTACGACAATCTTTGATAAAATGACCTTCACCTAGACAGTAAAAACACTTTTTACCCTTAGGCTTGGTTTTCATTTTATCTTTAAAGTTCACCTTCTTTTTGTGTCCGGGTTGCTTATTGAAATTGAAAATTTTTGGATTTGGGTTTGGTTTGGACTTAACCATCAAATTTTCACCACTAATAGATTCTCTCTTCTCAGATTTTAACTCTAACTCTTTGTTTCTCAATGCATTTCTTATCACATCGGTAGTTAGAGTCTCCCTACCATATTCAATAGCATTTTTGACATCTTTGTATTTATAGCTTAGTGAATTTAACAAAACCACAGCCAGCTGCTCTTTTGAGAGTTTCTCATCACAGTCAACTAGGTCACAGGATAATCTGTTAAATCTATCAATGTTAGCGTCAAGATCAAGAGATGGGTCCAACTTGAAACCAAAAAAATTTGTTTTAGAAGATACACTTTATTAGGCATGGTTTTATTCAAATAAGTATCTTCCAATTTTTTTCATACCTCAGCAGCAGTTTTTGTCTCACCAATTTCTCTCAAAACATTGTCAGACAAATGCAAGGATATAGAACTCCATGCAATTTCATCAAGTTCAGTTTTCTTATTTTCTTCCATATCATTAGACCATGATTCATCTCGCATTTTCTGGCGCCAGAGACTAAAGTCTCCTTTACCATTAAAAATCTCCAATTCAACTTTAGTTGACATAATGAAAACACAATTTGATTAAAAATAGTGCATGCAGATCACATACAAAGTCAACAGTATATACTACTTGCAAGAACTCAAATGTCATACACCATAATCAAATTTAAAGTGCACAGTTAACAAGTGAGTTATACAGTAAAGGTTATGCAGTAGAATCTCATGAGTTCATTCACCACAATATAGGCAGTTTACTCAAAAACAGCAGAATTGTCAAGTCATAGTAACTCGAAAATATGGAACGAACTCACCAAAATCCCTTATTAGGGTTTCAAGAAGCAAACAAGATCTACTGAACCAGTGCAAGAACTTTCAGATCTACCAACATCGGCGCCAAGAACCACCATCAACTTGCTCTGATACCACTATTACGAGAAGTGCAAGAAAATTAGCCCACTTATACTTTAACAAATATGCGAAATAATAAACAGGAAATGAAAGAAACATAAAAAGAAAACACAAAGAACACGATATTTTCGCCCTAAGGCAAGAGGTTCGGAACTTTGTTCCTAATCCCCTTTTGAGCTTCTGTCAAATGGAAGAAATCACTATATCAATAGAATCAAAATCTGTCCGGTACAATCTTCATAGCACTCAGTCAAAATCACACAAGATTTCTCCCAAAAATAAGCCTCACATACTGTACAACATTCACTCAAGAATGATGAATCAAATGGCCTATACAACAATTACTCAAGATAGTTTCTACGTAAGCCTTTCTCATTCGACAATGGCATTCACTCAAGAATAGCACCAATACACCTTGTTAAATCACTCAAGATTAACTATACAAGACTGGATTAATTTCCCATCAACAAGCTAAATTTTTGGAGTGCAAAATCGGAAGACAAAGGATCGCCGAGAGAGAGAGAGAGAGTTTGAGAGGCGAGAGAGTGAAAAATGAATTCTGTTGTTTCGTCCAAGCACTAATGCCAATTAATATAGAAGCATCTAGAATTCTCCATCCAATGGTGCATAATTGGACACTTGGCAAAATCTGGGCAGCATCCATTAAAACCAACAGAAAAGTGTTTCGACAGCGGGTTTTTGGCAAAGTGAAACAGCAACATTTATCAATTTGGATCACCCGGCCCACTGACTTAATAGCAGGTTCATTCCAGCCCATCATTGTGCCTCTTTCTCTATAACTACTTCACAAATTAGTTGCATCATCTTCAACTGAGGCAGTATATATAGCTACTACTGAAGCAGCCAAAGAAAGACAACGGTCGAAAGGCTTGTTAAATGAATTGTTAACTTGTTATTGAAACACGCTTTATTAACTAATCTCGGTTTTACTTCAATGATTGACACGTGATAATGGTAACCGCCGAATGCAGATTTTGGGGCTCTTCATATAAATTTAGTGTTTTACTTTCATTAGGGTTAGATTATAGCCCTAGCAACTTTACTGAAATCTCGTTTTGTTCCCTATATGCACTGCTCGTCTTCTTTGTTTCTCAGTAATTTCTAAATGAAATTGTTGTATAAAGGATGAATATTGATGTGAACCTTTGATGGCAGTGACCCCTCTTTGTGAGTGGATTAGTTTGTGCTAGTTGTTGAAAGAGATTAATACATGATTCCTGTAAATATTCTTTAATCAGACCTTTTCTCTTGTCATTTGAGATTGTACTAGCGAATTTGAGTGTAATCTAAGAGGTGCTCAACGAGGGATTAAGTGTTTAAATCGGTCACTAAACCTCCGAAATTTAGATCATAAAATTCTTATGATCTTTATGTTTTTCTTGTTGAGCATTATGTTCTTGGTGCTAGTTGAATCTCAAAACTAGAATCGATGGTATCTAATCAAATCCTTGTGTCCACTCTCAAAATATTTGATGCAAAATTACCGACCATTATTTGAAATATCTCATTAGACAATTGTGCCCACACAGTATCTGATAAGAATTAGTCACATATGCTACCTTGAGGGTTAGCCAAATGTACTCAACAGTCTGTTTGATGGAAGCGAGATGACTTCACCTTAGAAAATGAAAGGGAAATTCAAATTATTAGTTTATTAAGTCAAGAATGAGAATATAAATTAATCGACAAACCATCAAAAATTGTAGAACTAAAATCACTTCGACTACAATTAGTTTTAGCCAAAAGATCTGTACAAAAAAACACGAGGTTGAATTTAAATCCTTTAAAATTAGTTGTGCTTGTTAATAAATTTTTTTTAGTAATTATTTTTCAGTTTCTCTCACCACTTAATTTCCACTAGCTCAAAGTCAAACTTTGCAGCAAATTCACATATTCAAAGTCGGGGTGTGCTTGGTGCACATAATTTGAGTACATAGAAGTGTCCACACCCCCTCATATGGACGTGGACCCACGTCCACCCCATGTGAGGGGAGTGGACACTCCTATGTACAGAATTTAGGTATACCAAGACTCATCCTTCAAAGTCAGGGTTCACTTGGAAGGTGGGAGTATCTATTTTTGCCATTAAAGGGTGTCTGCAATTCACTGTAGTAGGTTTGCCGACACTGCATATTACAGATTGAAAATGCAATAAATATAAATTAATGGACCATCAGCAATCACCGAGTAGGCAATAAAGCTTATGATACATTAAATTGAATATAATCATATGAATGTTTAGTACAATGAATTGAGTTTATAATGGATCAAAAGATGGTACTTTTTGACATGACAAATATGCAAGACTAGTAGACATCTTGGCCAATATTGCTTATCGGACAACCCCGACCCATATAAAAGTACAAAAATATAACAATCAGAAACTATGTGGAAAAACATTATTGCCACCTATACTAAAAAGGATATGATCACAGTGTTTCCGGACATGATTTTCACAATACACTAATATATACATGCACACACATGCATACATCTTGAAAATTTACAAATGTGAACGGTTGTAATTGCTTAATTCGTCACTTCTGATGTTCATGTTATCCCAAACCTGTAAAGTTTCACCTGAAAATCTTACCAATCTTCATGGCCAAACACGTGTGGGGAATGGTGCTTTACTGAAAGACAGATAGCCTAGCAACATTTGTCATGTGCAATTTAGTCCTTTGACAACAGGTCCTGAAAGAGAGGTACAATGACGGTCAATTAGCGCATGGTTACCAAGAGCCTTGTTTCCAAGGGTCAAGTACCATGAAAAATAGTCCACAACAGAATAACATCCTACATATATTCCACAACAGACTTGCTTTGAATGGAAAGTGAAAAGAACTTTACCCGAGTACTCAATGCCCAAAGAAAGATGGCTGCATTGCCATTAGAAACATGCTTCAACCTATGATTTCCTATATATTGATTGCCGTTTCATTAATTCATTGCAATCCACATTCAAGTTTGATCGCTGATATGAGCTCAGGAGATATAACTGGTCGAACATTACTCTCTCCACCTGCTAAGTCATTTTTCGAATCTTTGTTAACCTTTCCAGTAGCTTGGGCAAACTCCTCTCCAGCTCCCCAACCTCGATAAAGTATGACTTTACTGGGCTCTTGAGACACCAGAGCAGCACCCGTGGCTTGCTGACAGGATAATTATGAAAGAGATTGAGCATACTTGTCTAAAGCTTAAAAGAAGTATAGGTACGCTTTTCATACATTAAGAATGATTTTTAAAGAAGTAAATTTCGAACTATGAATCTCCGAAAAGGTAACTTCTATGATAGCTCAAACATCTTTGGCAAAACAGTTACTTAAACTAACTTTTAAGTTTAGCCAAACAAGTTCTTCAATTTGCACGATCTAAACAAATACAGGTACTTGAAAAGATTCTCAGATACAGACCTCCAGCTGGAAAATCACCTCCTGGACTGATGTCCCTTTGGCTCTGCCTTTAACATTCACTATGGCAAGAGGATGCTTTTGAAAGTGTGCTTTTATGGCTTTAGCAACACCGGTAATGACATTGCTCTTCCCTAATAAATTGTAGTAACAGTGAAAAGATTTCAAAGATATTCCATGACAAGGAAGTAAAAGACTTGAGTCATGCACAAAATGGATGAAGGAAATGTATGAAAGGGAACATGGGTGCTTGTAATCAAATCAAATAACAACTCCAGCTAAATATACCTATTCATCTTATTATGAATGTATACGATGAAACAGGTAAGCTTATTCATGTTGCTGGGTAGGGTTATTGAATATTGGCTCCCACATACATACATTATGCACATAAAAAATAATCAGAAGTACGCCCATCATATAGACACAGATTATCACAATAGTACAAACAGAAATATTTGAAGGTAAAAGATGGTTTTCAACAGTTTCATATAAACAGAATACTAACTAGGAAGTAACATAAAGATGAAAATTCACTCCAAAGAACTGAATTTAGACTTCAACAGTAACGAAGAGTACAAAGGTGTTACCTATAGCAAGCACAGGTAGCCTTTTAAGCTTGAGGGCTTGTTTTCGTAGAAGAAGCCTCTCTCTGTTGGAAAGTCGTCTAGCTCTGAAAGGTGTTCCAGAAGACCCCTTCGCCATAGATTTGTCTATTGAAGATTCTAACATAGCCTCTCGAAAACCAACGTTGGATGTCATAGCTTTATTATCACATAAGAGAGGCTTGACATAAGCAGTGGAACAAGAGCTTGTCTGATCTGGTGACTAAAAAATTGTACAACACAACATATTAGAAATTACTCTGGAAAATTGTGTTCTCGAGAGAAGCAAAATACACACATATATAAATATAGATAGTCCTCAGCAGTTTCTAAAATTTACCCCAAAAAGTGTGAAATTTTCATCTTGCACATTTATATCCAAAGAACCTTTGGTTTCTTTGGTTACTGATTTAAGTTGAAGACCTGCTTCAGACACATAGAATACATCTTCCCCCTTGGCCTCAGACTGTAGAGATTCTCCCAAGTCCTGTTGATGTACAGAAACCATTGCAGTGTCCATGTAACCCATTGTGTCTGTACAAGTTACAACAGCCTCATGGCTTCCTCTAGCCTTCAACAACGATGGTAAAAATGTATTCACACAAGTGAGTATACAAGTGAGTGTTCAAGCAATTTTGCAGTTAGAAGACAATTATAAGAAAAAAAGAAGTACATGGCTTGCTCATAAATACCAGGCAGCACTCACTGCCTGAACACTAGCCAGCAAAGAACATGAGTTCTGTAAAAATAAAGTTCCAAAGCATTATTTATGTATACTGAGAATACACATAACATTTTGCCAGCCTCTGCACATCATATTGGGTTTTCTTCAATTATTTTGGCAATTCAGCTTCCTAGCAACCTTTTCCATCAAGGAAGTTTTACATGATAATGAGTAATGGTATAGTATAGAGGTAAGAGAAGACCAAAATAAGGAATCATGCATTCATAATGGAGGTAAGAAAAAATATATTGCTTGGAACACATGCCTAAGGTAAACATAGTGTTTGAACAAAGTCGATGGTGAACAAAGATTTTGTTGAGTTCTTACTGCCTCTGTATATTGTGTCCATATTTTTGATTGTTAAAAGATCATTTTGTGCACAGTAAACTGGGGTTTAATAGAAAGTTCATTTCCATCAGTGCAAGTTTAATGGTTTACATCTTCCGATCAAATAATTAATTTTTAAGTTTTAATTAGTATGTGCATACCTGAACACTTTATTTATTTTTATTAATTTAGGCATCAGGCATATTTATTCCCAAATGTATAGATCTTGCCAATTAAGTGTTCAACTCAAACCAATTAGTGCTTGTATCGTAAATGAGTGCCATTTTAAAGGGTGTTCAACAAAGATTTTAATAAAAGTTGATGAACTATGTGGCTGAAAAGTTAGTAAAAGTTGTGGATCCCATCAAATGTGTAGTAAAAAATGATTGTTGACTTTGACCAAACTTTTTAGCAACTGTTTAAGCTTCCCAAACAAGCACTAAATGTTAGCTTTTCACCTCTTCTAAGCTGGCACTTCCAGAGTAGGACTGGTGATCAATTTTAGGATTTCTATCAGATTTTGCATCCTGAGTAACAGGAATTTTGTTCATCTCCCCCTCTTTGACCTGCATGATGACAACATTTTGCAAAAGGTTAGCCTGGATTGATGAACATAAACCTGACCAAGAGAAGCATGGATAATCAAAGAGAATTCACCACTTCATGTTCCAAATCTTTGGCCAACTGCATGTCATTTGAATCTTTATCCTCAGCATGGGACTGGATACAAGTGTATAATCATTAAAACATCAAGTTATTAAACCAACTGGCTGGAAAAACAAAAAAAAATTCATCAACAAAGTTACCAGTCTAAGCTTCAATTCATCAATGTTCCGAGTGAGCTTCAAAACATGTAATTTCAAGGACTGCACGCGATAGCAAGATTCATAAGATACATCAGCCAACATCATTCGCTAGAAATGTCAAGAAAAGAACAGAGAAAAAGGGAAAAGGTGTAAAAAACAACACAGAACCGTTTACCACGAGAGAAGGTTGAATCTGTATTTCACAACTCAAGTTCTTTGAGCCAAAAAAAAAAAACTAAATAGAATAAAGAAAAGAGTTTTTCACTAGGCTAGTAAATACCTCCCAGACATTGTAATAACCTATTACAGAATCGAGAATTCTTTTTTATTGTGCTGTATTTACCCTCCCCACAAGAATACCCATGAAATTAAGCCCTTCTTTTAGCCCCATTTTTATCAAAATAAAATTTTCTCTTTCTTCTTTTCAACTGCACATTCTTCAATAAAATAATATTACACGTAAATCGAAAACTGTTCCTTATTTTTCAACCACAAATTCTCCAAAAATTCACTATTCAAGAATACATTTTAACAAAAAATGGGACTCAAACAAGGGCTAAAGGAAAACTTCCTCAGCATATCTGATGTTGATAATGCTCATATAAACCAATAGTTCCCCGATTCCCATGACTTATTTTTCTGATGATGAATAGAGTTGGCATTTGGTATAAAAGAATGGATACTTATTTATAGTAGGTCATTCACTTTGAAGACTATTCAAAATGAATAGTAGAACATAATTTTTGGGATGAGCTTATATTTAGATAACTAAAATCATTTCATATGTTCCCTTACGGAGTGAACTAATAAAAAGGAAAATACAAGTCCTCTCCTTCAGTAAACACACCTCACGACGTTGTGCCTCTATTGAGCGTTTCATTGCTTCTCTTTTACTCAGAAGTGTCTGAGGCCTCAAAGAAGCAGGACGTTTATAGTTCTTTCCACGATAGATGATAATTGCGTAGCCCTTACTGACTCGCTCAACTGCAACTAATATTCCACCACTCTCTGCCTCTAAACTCCGTGCTACTCCATGAACCTCTTCAATGGTCCTCCTGCCTATCAATACCTTAACCAATTCCCTATATTTCCAGTGTAGATGCATGTTTTCAACTGTTCCATCAAAAACTCCTCGCCTTCCTGAGAATTGAAAGAGAAAATAATCACAAGATAAACTATTACTATGACATTGAGCCCTATGCTATGATAAATTTAAAATGCTATGCTTTTTATATGCCCACAAACTAGAGTGCTCACCCAAAAGAAGAAAAGGTTTCATCCTCAGACCCACTTTCCTCAGCATATACCTTTCTTCTTCAGTAATTCCCTCTTTATCTATTTCCAGTTGTTGAGGAATCTCTTCCTTATCTAACTCTTCTAAAAGTTTCTCTGCCCTGGCTTTCTTAGCCAATGCCTGCAATAAAAACATTAATACCGGAAATACGTTAAAGAGATGGCAAAAGAATATGACAACTATATTCACTTGTCAATTCCTACCATGGACAACTTAGAGTTCGTTCTTTCAATAGCTGACTTTGTATGCCTCAATTTCCTTTCTTCAGAGTGAAGCTTCAATTTCTCATCGCTAGACTTGTGATGTCCATCTTGAGGGCCATATTCCACGGTCTCATGTTTGTGTTCTTTCACATTCAAGTCATGATCCGTTCCCGTTTTCGCCCCATCCATCCCATACTTTCTCCGCTCTTCTATTGCTGAAGATACTGCAGCTGGCAAGAAATCCTTTCCTCGGTAAAAGACAATGAATTCCTTATCTCGTGAAAGTAAGGTTCCTCCTGTTAGCCACTGCAGGAGTTCAATGGTAAATAGATGTCCACGAAAAATTATGTACCAAAATGTTTTTAACTTCAGCGTCATGAAACCTTTACACAAAAGAACATGCTGAGCATTGATCAGATTTAAGATATCGCGTGTACGTCACAGACCTTCAGTTCTTCTGCCATCATTTCACTGTTTGTGTTCTGGACTCCTCTCTTGATCGCTATTTTTGCAATTTCACATTTCTCCCACAGCTTAACAATAGAAGCAGCCAGTCCTTGAAGTTTCTTATTTCTGCCTGTGATAAAGACAAGAGCAGGAGTTTTATGTTTGTCAATAATTACATTCGACCACTAAACATTTGTTAATATGGGGACTGCATATGACTCCTAGTTCAATAGATTTAAGAACCATCTCCCCCCCCCCCCCCCCCAAAATGGCACGGCAAAGGCCGACCAAGTCTCTTTAATGTTGTCATTTCATCATTTGTCAGTTTATTTTTCACTCCATAGGGAAGTAAACGGAATGGTCTCTTGTATCCAGGAACTATTGCTGGCAAAAGATCAGCATCAACCGGTAAGGGATCATATCCCCACCAATCAGTAAAACGTGGACCAAGTCCTTCCAACAGCATGTCAGCTTCTTCAGCAAGTTGAGCCTCACCAGGCAACTGAAATCGTACTCTATCTGGTAAACCTACACCTTGAATCAGACGTGGATGAGATATGCCCATTAATGAGTTTGGTTGAGGAGATTTCATAGCATGAGTTCCGGATGATAATGTATCCCTTCCATCATGTACTCCATCATTAATATCCAAATCAAGAGAAGCTTCATTGGAAGCATCATCGGTTGAATTATTATCAGTAAAGAAGTAAGGATACTTGTAATCAGATCCTCTGTACAATATTATGTTGCTTCCAGATCTCCAAATGACTAAACCTCCTGTTTTTCTCTGAAAACATCCCAAAAGAATTTGAAGTTAAATAAAAAAATACATGGAGATTGCCGAAACCTAGCAGATTAATGAATTGTTCAATGGATATTAGCTTTCTAGATAACTGTCCTAATACTATTCACCAAGTGCATGTTGAGATCTCATTTAAGGGTCAGCTAGATTATTTTAACATGAACACTGATGGCTTGTTACATAAGATCAGCTTCTAAAATTTTATGAAGACTTCAATCTGAAATGCTTCACGGACTTGAAGAAACTCAAATTAGATCCAAATTTACAATAATAAGGTGTTGCTCAGTTACAAATGAGAGCAAACCATCTTTTCAATAAAAATCCCTTCCTTCTAAGTATATAAGTTTCCTGCTGCACCTCTCTTTCAAATAAAGATTTGATTATAAATGTCAGATGTCAAGCTACAAGGCTGCACTCACAATTCTATGGAAAAAGGCTGCCATCATTGAAAGTTGGACATAACTAAAATTGAAAATAGTAAATTTTCTTTTGCTACGTATTAGCCATCTGAGGATGCAATTTGACATTGAAAGCCCTTTTACGTATTTAAACAGATATTTGAGAAAAACCTCGACTTTTCACCACATTTAAACTCGACCAACCAAGGGACGAGAATTGTAATAACTATATTGGTCTTTCCTCTTAACGTAAAACATATTGGGGATGAACCGAATTCATTGAGCATAAAAAGCCAAACCAGAACTATTGATGCTTAGGTTCTGAATTTTGCATGTCATTTGCTCTATTCCATGATAATAATGAAAGAAACAGGATCTAACCTCCAAGAGATCATGAGTCCTCTTCATGTTTAACCTACAAATATCCTCACACTTGATCTTCACCAGCTCAGAATGCCTCCACCGCTCGTGAATTCCATTCACAATCCCCTCAGTGATCCCGGCTTTTCCTACCTTCAACTTCTTCTTCAATCCAATACCAATTGACCTCAACCTCCTTAACTCTTCCCCTGGCAATGTGAGTTCCGCCAAGCTAGGAGTGTTTCCTCCTTTCTCCTCTCCCCTTCTCCTCAACCTCTCCTCCTCCTCCTCCTTTAAAACCCCACGCCTCAACTCATGAAAATTCTGTATTGCATTCCCCGACCCGGGCACAGGCACAGGATTCTCGGGAGTGCTCCAGCTTGGGTCAAGTGTATGCCCAACACGGTACTTGGGCAATTTGGTGGGTAGTGGAACAAATATTTCACCAGGTGGAGACCCATTATAGTTTATACCTTTTTCTGGGTTTTCTTTGTCTTCTTCGACATAGCCAAGGCTACGTAGCTTTTCAGAGATACGTTGGATGGCAGACTGCGGTAGAGTTCCTGAATCCGCACTACTTCCCCCTTCGCGGGCGGCGGAAGCTTGGTGGAGGAGGGGTTCAAAGGGTAATCTTGGGAAGGAGAAGAATAAATGAGGGATTTGGGGTGAGGGATTTAGGAGGGTTTTGGAAGGGATTAAATAGCAGAATTCGTGATTTCTGCTTCTGCTTCTGCTGCTGCAAAGAGTATTCAACATTGAATTGCGAATGATGAGTAGACCGATTCAATTAGCAAAAATTAACATTTGAATTTGAAAAAATAAAAGAAAAAAAGACACTCAAATCATTCCCTTAATCCTCCTCACTCTACTGCTTTGTGTGTATAATTTTATCAGCTTCAGTGAATCAGTTCCGGTATCTTTATAGTCACCAATCCTAAAGCCCCCAGCTGTGTCAGTGTGTACGTTATCCACGGAGAGCGTTCTATTTTTTCTTGATTCTCAATTTTATAAACTGGTAGTAAGAAAGACACATTGCACTTATAGGATAAAAGAATGCGTGATATTTTTGAAATATTAATATTGTGCGTATATATCTAGAATAATGCTATTTGCAGTGAAAATTATCGACAATCGTTCTATGTGGCGTATATTTGACAATTTTTTATTTGATGTATAATTCAAAAAATGACTACCATATTTATGTATCAAATATCAAATTGTCAAGTCTATGCTACATAGGACGACTACTGACAGTCTTCACTATGAATAGCATTACTCACACATATATATATATAAAAAAAATTTTAAATTTTTAAAGTAGATGGTATAGTTGATATTATTAAAGGAAAAATTAAAATTTTAAAAAAATAAAAAATAAAAAATTATATATATAATGTGAAAATGTTAAATAAATTTAAATGTAATTATGATCACAATGACACTTCTTTGTACGTAATATTTTTTGTCAACATCCAACATCCCTTTTTTTAATTTTTATGTTCAACTTTTACCAAGACTTTCGATTTTTGCATTGAAACTTAATGAAAAAGTGCAACATATAATTGTCCATAAGAGAATATATGTTCATGAAAGTATATTCCAATAGAAGGCACTGTTTGTTCTAGGGCCTTGTTAATGATCATTACAAAGCATACACGTATTTAAAATTATTTTTTCTTGAATTTAAATGAATATCATTAATCATTTGTTGGAGTTAAGTGCAACAATTATTTTTGAACGGAGATTGTGCCCTTGTAAAGACTATTGGATGAGTCCATAATCCTCAAGAGATTCACTGGATAATTTCTTTTCATGATTAACTTATGTGGATACCATTTGACAACAATGTATTATAAGCTCTTGATAAAATTAATTTGTATTATCTATTGCTTCGTCAAAGTTGACAGATTCTTCACTTTCTTCAAAAAATAAACCAATTAGTTTGTCATTGAGGTAGTCAACATACTCAATTTTTGTTTAAAGAATGTCATGTTGTGTCATATAATCAGAAAAAGCTGAAATTTTTTATTAAACCTAAGAATACTAGATTTATTAAGTGTAACTTCGAAGTTTCAGCATCGTCGCATGCTATAACTATCCCCTTTGTTAAGTTTATGAAGTCATAATGTATAAAAGGTTCTGTTCCATTATTAATTTGGATCAAATGTTCTGCAAATCAATTGTCATTTTGAGCGTGAATATTTTAATTTAGTTGCAGCTTTCCGATTTTTTCCAAAGGTATTATTTATCCAAATTTTAGTTAATTGTGTCATTGTCTTGTTGCTCTTGGGACGATATGTACTACTTGATGAAAATCTCTTCCAAATACAAGACTTTTGCAACAAATAGTTTTGAATTGTCCAAATCTCTTAAGTATGTTTGATTGACTTTATTTTTACATAAATTCCTATTTTTTGAATGTTCGATTGACAATTTTTTCATGCAAAATATTTTATAATTATTGGTCATCTGATCATATTTTTCTCAAAACACAGGGAAATTTTTTTTTATGGAATGGTTATTTTTATTTTTGAGATAATTTACTCTCTCTCTCATGTATCCACTTTCTCTTATCTACATACCAATAAAAAAAATGGATAAGTAAAATATTTTCTATATTAAAAATTAAATCAATCAAATACATTTAATTAATAATTTACATACGAATAAGATCTAGACAATTGAATGTCGAGAATTTATTTTCTTTCCATACAAATTATATACTCATAAATAAACGCACCCTTAAAGTTTTATCAACAGTTTCTATTATGTTTTTGTTGGCCATTGTTGCTTCATTACACATTATGAACTATCAAATCAATTTTGTTGTAGTACTTTCCTATACGCTAGGTCCATTGACAAAAAATACATATATGTTTCCGTTGTTCATTCTTTCAAGTATGACATCAAAGCATATTTTTTTATCTGGTTATAGATATGATGCTACTTGAGTATCAACATTTGAAAACTCAATAGAGCATACATATATAATTTCCTTTGCATTGGATTCATTGTTTCCATAGAAGGTTGATATAAGGTCAGTCGTTTCCATAGATTGGAGGAAAAATTGTATATCTCATAAATCGCACTGCATGTAATATTCTAATAATTCTTCGACATTTCTTTTGTAATTTGCATTGAAATCAACTTCATCATGTAATGCATGTAATTTTCCTCTCAACTTAATTTTATAGTATAAACTATCATGAATTATACCTAAATTATATTCATTTGAAGATCAATTTGATGAGAAATGAGAACTATATTTGACTTATTATTATAAATTGCAAAATTAACTTAATGCATGAAAAATTAGGAAGATTGAATAAGAACAAAATTGACAAAAAAAAAATTAAAAATTATGGACAAAAAGTTACAAACCAAGTAAGGGTATACTGGACTCCACGTGAATGTAAAACATAAATTCTAGTGCCAAGGGGAACATATTAATACAATCTTTCATAGATATATTTTTAAATTATTCTTTTTGTGAAATAACTATTATTTTATAGGAAATGGATGTAACTTACTACTATAAGACTAATAATTTAATAATTTTAGGAAAAAAGTAATGAATGGAAAAAAAAAAAAAAAAAACTTAGCCCTTATATGGGATCTATTAAAATCAAATTTTGGAGAAAAATATATTTTAATATAGTGATTTTTTGAAGAATATGATTAAAAAAAAAAGGAAAATTTTGAATCTAAATATAATATTATTATTATTTTTTTTTTTTGGAAAATGTATGATTGAAAATATATTATAAAATCGAGCCCAGACACAAGCTTCATGCATTAGAATTATATATTATTATATTCTTCAAAAATTTGTCATTCGAGTTCCTTAAACAACACTCATGTATCAATTTCATATTGAAGAACTTAAATTAATGCTGTTAATAGCAACATTCACTTTTCAATTTGATTTTAGAGTAATGCTATTAATCAAATAAATTTTATTTTATCTCAAAAGGGAAATTTAATGTCATTTTTTGAGCTCCTTAAAGAACACCCATTTTGCAATTTCACGTAGAACAAATTGAATTCATGCTGTTAAAAATGACATTCGTTTTTCAATTTCATTCTGAATTAATGCTACTAATCAAGTGAAAAGAATTCTTTTTATTTTTATTTTGTTTATCTATAAAGGGGAATTTAAGGCCATCCTTTGAGTTCCTTCAACAATATCTGTTTTTCAATTTCATGTTGAATAAATTAAATTAATGTTAAAAAAAATTAATGTAATATCAAAAATATTAATTTAGGAAATTATTAAAAAATGAGATTTTTAATTTATGAATAAATTGAAATAATGTTATTAATTAATTATTAAAAAATTAAAATTAAATAAGTGTAATAAGTGCATAAAATACACTTATCGAAGCCTAAAATAGAAATATTTGATAGTTCTTTTTATAAAATATATCCTAAATTTCTATTTCATGTTATATAGATAAAACTCAATGATTGAATGGGTAATTGGAAGAAAGAAGCCAAAATTTGGTGAAAATTTGTGACCCAATATATGGGGATTGAATTTCAACATTTCAACAGTTGATTCAAACCATGAAATGAAGATTGAAGATTATACGAGTTCAATTGGATGCAATTAGAAGTTAAATGACCGAAATTGCAAGAGAAAATGACTTAAAAGAATCAATAATCGAATTCAGGGCCAAAATGTAAGGTTTGAAAGATGCATAGTTGGGCAACTGCCTGACTTACGAAATCAAAATCAGTGGCTTCAAACTTGGCCTGAGCGAGTGCCCCGTTTACTAGATTCCTTTTTTATTCCAAATTCTACACGGAAACCACTTTCTTGCACAACTTTTAACCTAATTTCACCTCTATAAATACAAAACATGGGTAGCTAATTAAGGGGACCTCTCATACATCTCTCAGATACATAATATACTCCAATATTCCATTAATTGATACACAAAAGGAGAGAATTAATATTTGTGGAAGATAACGCCTGTGAAATGACAAACATATCATTCAAGAAAACTTCATACTAGGAAGTGGGCATAAGGATAGAAAGGAAAATTCAAGAGATATCAAGAACTCTTTGAAGATATTCAAGACTAAAATATTTTTCTTCAAATATTTGATTCGGGTGATGTTTATTCAACTTAAAATGATGTGTTGTAATTTCAATGTGCTTGACTAGGTTTTCATATTGCTATAATGAGATAAACCATTGTTATGAAATTTTTGATTTAAATAATTGAATTGATGTTAATTTGTTTGAATTATTGGATGTTTATCATTGTTTTAATACATTGTCAGCATGTACTAAGAAGTTTACATGAATGGTGGACCTACGTAACAATTTATTAAGGCCCCGTTTGGTACCAATTTTTTCAAAATGTATTTTTATGTATTTTTTCTCTTTTTTTTCAACCTCACATTTTTTTATTAAAATAATATTTCACGTAAATAAATATATTTTCCTTATTTTTTAACCACACATTTCCATCAATTTACTATTCTAAAATACATTTTTACATAAAAATAGGTATCAAACACCCTCTAAAAATGTTTAGGACCTTTACTACATTTATTATTAAAGGTTTGGATCTGCTGTTTGAATACTTGCAAAAGATTTAGGCCTGTGTCTACACTACTTATAAAGGTTGGGACCTTTGTTACACCATCTTCAAAACATTAGGACCCTGTAGTGCACTTGTATTTTGAAGCAATATTTGACCATAAAGGAAAAATTGGAAACTGTGCAAACATATTAAATTAAGAACGGAACTAACACCAAAAGCAGATCTAGCTACACATCTATTTTACAATAACTCCTACCAAAAATCCAAACATTCAAGTCCTCTACAAACTAGTTTTCATTGAATGGAGGGTCCTAACTTCAACTTCCATTTTTTGCCTTGTATGAAGAAAAGCATTAATCAACTCTCTCGTTTGTCGCACTTTGGGAGGGTCATACCACGCAAAAAAGTTACATCCATCCATATCTTGACTACATGGGCGAGTGAGATATCATCTGTTTGGGTTAAAG